ATTCTTGAATGCATGTCAGAGGGTCCTTCAGTGAGAAACACGGGTGAACCGTGTAAGCTATATCTAGAGGATCTTGATAGATACTTGGCTGCTCTTGGTAGCGTTCACAGTTTAGGACAAATCATCCACCATAAGCAAACGCAATAAGATTAAGTCAAAATGGTGGTAGAAGATGTAAAAGTAGTGGATGCAATCATCCCATTCTCTACTGATAAGGTCAATATTGTGTACGAAGTTGTTGGTACTTTTATTATGTGGCCTAAGAGACTTGTGAGTATGGTTCAAGCCGAGGTACATGTTTTATTAAATATTTCGTACATTTTATTAAGTATTTATTTTTATATTATTTTTTTAATTAGCTATCTCTTGTCTTTTCAGCTTCCCTTACCAAATAATTTCCTACCTAAACTTTCACAACCCTAGCTACTGCAACTACCACAGTTGACTCCTCTTTAACAAATAATTTTATTGGTTTATGACAAATCATTTCAAAAAAAAATTTTCCAAAAGAAATGGATGTTGTGGGTGTGGAAAGTCCAGTGATGATTCAACAGGAAGATTTGAACCATCTTTTCTTGAAAAGTCAGCTTACCACAGCATCAATTGAGCTTTTTATGCTGTAAGTATGTTTTACTTAAATATAATTAACTTATCAAGATTGATCAACTAACATAATTGCATTATTGCAGGTATCTCCATCATTTGTGCATTATATCGAGCAAAGGTGATCATTTTGGATTTCTTTGCCCTCATCACATGATAGAGAAAGGGAACACTCTTGAAATAAGATTCTGGTATCTCCAATAACGAATATGTGAAGTTAAAAAGGATGATTTCATGGCTTCATATGTGCATTTGTAAGAATCAATTTATGATTGACAGTTTTTTTATTAAATGTGGATTTCTTCTGATATCTCAATATATTTTATAGGGACCACTGGCAACTGATTGTTCTTTCATTGAAGAGTAACATAGTCCTCTTCTTATGCTCCTTCCATTACAAACCAAACAAGGACATAAAGAAGATGATAGACTTATAAGTATATTTGTAAAAAAAAACTATTAATTTTTACAGATATATTAGTTAAAAATCTTGTGATATTAATTATAGGGCAATAAAAACATATCAAACGATGGTCCTGAAAAAGCACCTACATGAACTAAAGGATCCTACATGGATTGAGCTAAAAGTAAGTTAAAACTAACTCTTTATTAACATATTCAATTGTTAATATGTATTACCGATTCCCGATTATTTATATGTGTGTGTGTGTGTGTTTTTTTTTTTAAATAGAGTCGCAGGTGTAATAGCCTTAAATAATATATATATATATATATACTTATTGAATTAACTATATGAATATATTTTAGTTATATTTAGGATAATTATAACAATAAGGAGTACTGATAGAATGGAAATATGTATGTCAAACAACCTAAAGGTTTCTGGTTCGAATCCCTGATGCAACAAAATAGAATTTTATTTTTTCAGCTTCTCCAAAATTATGAAATTACCCTTTTCTAAATTTGATAAAAGCTTCCTTCTCTTCCTCGGCCATTCCAGAAAAATAGAGAGAGAATGAGAGTATGAGAATATGACTGACTTAACCTTCCTATACCTCTGACCTTTCCTTATTTCAGTGATCACTGACTCATCCCCCTTGTTGTTCGCTGTGGTGGCTGGTGCAGTTGATGCTATAAGTTTCTTTGGTTTGTTTTCCTTATATTCTCTATTTTTATCATCATTCTCTGTCCTATTTCTAGCTGTCTTCATTGGATTCAGTCACTGCTCAGTTTCTGTCATCTGTTTGGTTTGCTACTAGCGTAAAACTAAATCGTTGGAGCTAGACTCATGATCCTTTCCTTCCCAGCTCAACCGTGAGCGTTGTGTTCTATTTTTCTGGTCTGTGCTCCTTGTTTTTGCATCCTCTTTACTTGTTGTCTGTCTGGGCTGTTTTGCGTTAAGAGATCTTAAAGTGTCGAGTATTAGAAGGCTATTACTATAAGCTTGTGTGGTGCGATTGAACCAGCCTTCTTCTATCGTGTGGTGTAGTGCTAGTGATCAGTTTGTATCTAACCTGTTTAGTGTAAGTTTTACTTTTCTCTTCCTTATATGTACGTTGCTAGTTGCTGGAAGTAAGGACGCTTCAGGACTTGCTTTCTCTTGATGAATATACGTGTGATTTAATCATTGAAGTTGGAAAAAATTTGGCTCTCCTGTTACTGTGGTTACGCGTGCATGAAGAGGAAATAGAATTTTAATTTAAATAGAAATTACAAGTGTAGAAGGAAGGAGATGATGTATAGCCTAGAGTTTTATTTGGAGATAAGTGAATTATTAATATTGTAAGGGAAAGGATATTGGAATCTAGAAATAAAGACTAATCTTAGCTTGATAATTATGCCCATAAAGTATTTAATAACATGCCTAGTGGGAGAAATGTGTTGGTATGGGAGCTATTAAATTATGAATAGAATGATATTGGTTTTGGAATTTCAATGATGATAGTTGATTTTAAATTGTGATGGAAAATTTTTATTCAATTATATCCTTATAGGGTGTGTAGAAGAATGGGACCCTGACCAGAATTAAAAGAAGAATACTTTTGAGAATTTGAAGCTCTAACAAGTAAGTGAATAGTATTCTCTTTAATTTATTTTATTGGTATTTTATTTTTAATAAATTTTTATTGAGATATTTTATTCTTGTGAATTACATTAGTATTGAAACTTTGTGATATCAAAGTGAGATATCAAAGGAGGGTATATGCATTTATTTCCTCAGGGAATATGTTTGAAAGAGTTATAGAATTATTTGGTTTATTAAACTCTTGAAATCCTTGATTATTTAAATAACGCAAGTTCGTATATTATTTTATGAAAGATTATTTTAAATAGGTTTTAAATTGAAATTTAAAGTGATGCATGCAAGTTTGGTATTGGAAACGTAGATTATATTTCAAAAATAATTATTTGTCTCGCATGTTTGAAATATGATTCTTGAGAGGACTCTAAACAGAACACTACTGCTAATGGTAGTTCCGTTACCCTGTAGCGCTGTGGTTAAATACTAGTTAGTTTATTTCGTGAGTTTTATCCTCACATTTGGTATTCGTGGGCTTCGTACCCGCGTTTGGTTCCGTGGCCTGAGCTGCGTTTGGTTACTTACCTCGTGGACTGTGTGTTCACATTTGTTTCGTAGCTATGGCTGCGTTTGGCTATTTACCCTCATGGACTGATGTGTTCACGTTTGTTTTATGGCATAAGCTGCGTTTAATTATTTATCCTTGTGGACTGAGTGTCCATGTTTGTTACCTATTCTGTTAAGTCCTTAAAATTTTTAAATTTTGATCAACTCGTTCATTTGAAATTTCAATGGTTTCAATTATCAAGTATACTAATTTAATTTATGTGTGAGTAATTTAATTTCTTTAAGTATGATAGAATAAAGTGCTTCCAAATCTACTCTCATTTCATGGGTATGATTATGATTTATAGATTTTTAAAGTTATTATGTTGAATTATCCTCTTTTCAATTATTTTACATGATTATTTGAGTTTAATATGTGAATTCTTTTAAATTCTATTTTGGGGATGCTATTCACTAGAAAATTATTTTAGTCTTAGATTTGTTAGTTGACGCTGATCCCACCATCGACCTCTAAAGGGTAACTAGCTACAGTGGGTGGACCTTTTTTATTGGTATTGTTGCTCTAATGTAACTATACAATTTGTATGTCTTTTTAATTTGAAAGAAAGATTAGATGCTCCACATAGATTATAGATAAACCCTATTTTTGATCTGTATATTGATTGTTGGCTGCAAGGAGCTACGCTCCTGATTTATACTGATATTTGTAAAAAAAAATTTTTGTAAAATTTTCAGGAGATCCTAGTTACAGGGGAGGTTCTGCTGAAATTTTTACAAAAGAAACATTGATACTTTCTTATGACAACGAATTTAAAGAAGTTATTTTAATTCTCATGTGATTTGATTGAATTTTATTCTTTATATATATATAAAAAATGGAATAAATATTCATTTGGAGGTTTACGGGAACGTGAGAGTGGTTCACACCCGTGCCGGTCACACTCTATTTTGGGGCGTGATAGCAGGCAACCACTGAAGAGTAGTTTGTGCGGTGTATATGTGACGAGGCACATGCTCAATATCATCACATTGAGAATGACTGAATTTACAAATGAGGTAACTATATTTTTTAAAAGCTAATTTTATTATTACTTGAATTAATTGGTTAATGTTTTAATTGCAATTTTATACTTTAATATAGATGTTTGACATTGCGGATCCATTTTTTGAGGAGGAGGTTGACGACATCCTCACACGTTAGGCACAATATTTTATGAATGATATGTGAGGTTTAGGTAGTTTTTTAGAAAATTGTACAAGACAATTTGAGTTTTGTGTAATTTCTATAGAATTGTATTGAAATTTAAATTATTTATATGTACTTGAATTGGCTGGCTGGCAATAAATTATATAGAATATTTTTATTTGCAAGAATTGGGAAAACAACTAAAAACAGAATAATTTTTTTTTCTTAAAACCTCTTTTTAACATCGGTTCATGCCATAACCGATGTTAAAAGTCATATCTTTTTTTTAAAAAAAGCTTCAACAAGAAAATTTCAACAGCAAGTCTGTGTCCGTTGTTGAAAGTTTACTTTTAATAACGGTTAAACAACCACTATTGAAAGTCATTTACATTTAACATTCCCTAAAACAACAGTGGATCTAGAACTGATGTTAAAAGTGTTTTTTATCTATTGTTAAAAGCCTATCCTGTAATAGTGAATTTAGACCTCTCATAGAATTCAAATTCATATTATCTACCTATATATGCCGTCGATATTGATCTGTTGCAATTGCAGGAGCGCATTCAACGTGGTATGACCTGCAATTCGAATCTAAGACACCAACGGAATTCAACAGCGGTCTTATTTAATCACAATCACCGTATTACAGTCATGATCCACAGGCTATGAAAATTACTAACAGACAGGTGCTCAAATTTGAATAACAGCAAAACAGAATAGAAAATTCAGATAGAGAGACTACAAAATCTTTCTTGAATTCCCCTATATTCTCCCGTGCCTTCCATGAGGGCTTTGGGTTTCCTCAGCTGCGATGTAGTGGCCTTTCTTCAGATTGTGGCCCGATAAGAACTTCACTTGGCCAAATATCCAGGCTGATGCTTCACCATGATTTGGCTAATATCTTCAATGTTTCAACTCTCCGCGCTACTTTAGCCAAAAAAAAAACTCTCCACGCTACTGCTACGAGCAGAAGAAATACGGTAATCCAATAGAGAGGAAAAGCAACATATGCGGTGTCATAGGAGAAAGCCATTAGTAAGAGGCTGTAACATAAAACAAGGTGTGCTATTGAAAACCATACAACGACTCCATAGCGGCGTTGAAAAGTGGGAAACACGTGGACGATTGCTTGCAAGAAAATCATTGTGTTTAAGGACAAGAACGAAAAGGGCAATGCAGCTGGACAGTTCTTATATTTTCTTATCGGGTTGAGTGTCTTAAAGTTCATGAGTGAGAAAATGCATCCCCAATCTATTTCAGTGCCGTGTTTGAAGAATGTTGATGGAGGATTCAACAAACTTTGGTACGTCAACGTTATTAATAACGTTGCCACCACTAGAACTGCATTCTCAAACTCTTTACCTTCATCTTTATTCTCTGTTTTTGCTTTTGCTTCTGCTTGCTCCCGCGATCCTTCCTTCTTTTCAGGTGCTTCAGAGTCACCCACATCAGTGTGGCCCACGTCTATGCTAGTTTCCTCTTCTATCTCTTTCTTCTCCTCTTCTTTCCTTGTCACCTGCCATCTCATACACATTCTTTAGTCGCCATGAAAATATACAGTGTACGCGCGCGCGTGTCGTACAAGATTTTAAAACTGGTGGATCTTTTGGTTTTTCTACCCAAAATTATAATTTTACCGTAATTATACCTTCTTATTGCCTAAATATTGTCGCTTTAGAACGTCCCACGCTTGGGTGGAGGTAGTTGCAGCTGCAATGAGAGGGAAGATTTCATCATGTAGGGCTTGTTGAATTAAGAACAGCGCCTTTGAATCCTTCTTGCGCTTCTCTCGTAATGGTTGATCAGGCTTGTCGGTTTGGTTGTCTTCAAATCCATTCTCCACCAAGTCCCACAGCTCTTGGGACTTGAACATGGTCTTCATTTTCAGACTCCAGAATTCATAATTCTTCGCTTCTTTCAACATCGGAATGAGGGCTACAACTTCTGCATAATTAGTTGCGTTGCTCATGTTGCTTGCCATGGCCGATTTCGTTCACTTAAAATTAAAATTGGTTCGCTCACTTGGAGGTTATATTATCCCTAACATACATGTATAGTCCTTTATAGTAATACCAAGAAAAAACATTATCATTAATTGTATTTTTATTTCATCTCTACCTAATTGCCTATGATTTAGTCCATGCTAATTGTTCGATACTTAGGTTTATATGTCAAAAGATTATATTTGTACGTTTTTATAATAAAAAATATTATTTTTATCCTTTTATTATATGTAAAACTTATTTTTTTAAGGAAAGTCCAATCTTTGACTTTTAAAAGAAAACGACAAAATATATTAGGAACAAAAAAAATTTATATCTCAATATTTAATAAAATTTAATTTCTTAAAAATAGTCTTAAAGTATCAATTTTAAAGTATTAACTTGCAATCTAGAAGTATTGGATACATACCAAAAATTAAATTTTTAAAAATTAGAAAAATAATAACTTGATACTCTATGGATATGTGTCGAAAAAATATTGATGAGTATTGGTATCGTACATAATACCGATATTAATACGCTAAGTAAATTGAAGTTTAGGGTGCTTCATAGTGTGCCATGTACAATTAGATTTATATGTGACTGGACTAAATCCGTGAGTTGCATTGTTTAATTTAAGAAAATTATCAAAAGTAATACAGATAATAACATTTACAAAATTTTAATTTAAATAATATTGTTGTCTTATTAAAAAAATGAAGATTTGTTTATATATATATATATATATATTCAATTTTAAGGTTAACAAAATAAGAGAACATTAAATTTTTTTAAAATGGAACACATTCTGTTAAGAAATAATAAGTCACGGCTCATGTTACAATGTAGAAGAAATATTTCATATAATGTTGGGAAAAAATGCTAACAAATTATGATAAGAATATCTTGAAAGCTGTTACTGAAAGTTATTCAGTTGAGAAAAAAAAATGATAAGAATATCTTGAAATATGTTACTGGAAGAATATTCAATTGAGGGAAAAAATATTACTCTCTACATCCTAAATTATAAAATATTTTTAAATAAAATTTCATATATCAATAAATTTTATTAAATAAACTTAACAACCTTAATTTTTAAAAATAAAAATATAAATATAAAAAAATATCCTTTATTTAATATATTGAAAAGAGTGAGGGATAGAAATTAAATAGAGAAAGATTAAGAGTAATATTAGAATAAGTCTATTTAATAAAACCTTAATATTCTCAAAGTTTTTTTATATTTTGAGACACCAAATCTCTTTTAAAAATGTCTTATAATTTCAGACACAAGGAGTACTAAAATATATATCCATGTGCAAATACATTGATGTGCATATGAATGTGAGAATGCATGCATTTTTCTGATGCCCTGTGCAAAGCAATTATTATTTTGATCAAAATAATTTAATTGAACCAGCTAGACTCCATATGAAACATTACAATGCTGGTCAAATTATATTGGGCAATTAACTAATGTGTGTGTACTCCGTATTATTTACAAGCTACCAAGTCTTGGTTAATAGATAATTATTTAATCTCATTTTTATTTATAGATCATTTCTAAAATAATTATCATTTATAAGGCTGCTAGCAAAAAAAAAACTTTGATTTTTTGTTCCTTTTATATTTCGTGCCAATAGTTTTTTATAACCGCTCAATTTAATCGGCAATTTTTGCAATATCATGTAGGAAACTCAACAAAAAATAACAAACAAAAAAATATGTAAAAAAAAGATTCAACTTTTCATTCCTTTAAAATTTCAAACTGCTAATTGCATTACAAAATGTGGACGAGGAATGAATATGCCTTCCTACCACAACTACAAACCATTAATATAATCACAATTACAATTACAACTTCTACCTACCCATATATGCATGTATAGACAGAGCGAGTGCATAAAATGTAGATGAGGAATGAATATGCCTTCTTACCTCTCAACTACAAAACATTAATATAATTACAATTACAACTTCTACCTACCTCCACTATCTCCGACATACTTGGGTTGAGTTGGGCACTCACTAACCTAGTTTACCCGTTGGTACTCTAGCAAATTGGGGCCCTATAGTCCTACAAAACGCGTTAGTAAAGTTATCATTACAGCTCATAATTCATGTGGATCACGTTCAATTTGAACCGTATTCATATAGCCAAATTCCACTTTCATACTCTTGAACTTTGGATATATTCAAGCGGGCTTGAATATTCAAATCATTAGTATTTTTAACTTGAAATTAATTATTTTTATTATTATAAAAAATAAAATGATATACTCCCTCTGTTAAAAAATATAAGATATTTTTAACAGAATTTCACCCCCTAATAAAGTAGTTACCTACTTTCAAAATAATTTTATCTTTTCATATTTACTCTTATTAAATACCCTACAATAAATATAAAGTCACTATTAATAGGGGTATTTTTGAAAAAAAAGGCAATGATTATATCTCAAAAGACTAAAAATGACTTACATTTTTTAACATCTAATTACTTAAAAAATACCTTATATTTTTTAATGAAGGAAGTATTTAAAAAAAATAAAATGTTATTAGAATATTCAAGCCAAACTCGAGTGGGCTGTGGCTTGGTTTGAAATTTTTTGAACCTATTCAAGCAAATCAGAATATTAAAAAATGTGTTATTTTATTATGCTCAGATCCTAAAATTTTCATGTTTATTTAGGCTTGATCTAAACTACCAATTTTAGTTATCTCATGAGACGAGCTACAGGGGGACCCTAGGGTAATTTACACCCACCTCTCTCTTTTTGTGTGTAAATTTTTTTAGCTTCATTTTCAATGACATGTGAAGAAAAAGAAACGTCCCTGACTCCTAATGTGCCTGGCAAGTCTCTCTGTTCTGGTCTCTACCCTCTATTAGTGTCTCAAATCCTCTTATCTTAATAAGAAAGGTTTTAAAAAGTAGATCGATCATTAAATCGAATGAGCCACTAGTTCAAGAGTTAATGGTTTGATTGGGATCAAATTGGATTCAAACTAGATATGGTTATTTTAATATTTTTTAATAATATATATACATATATATCATAAAATAAGTTCATCCAAAATCATAAAAACTAATATTTTAATAGAATTTATTTTATCCACTTCATTTTTTATAGTATGAATAGCATTTAATAAAATTTTGTTTGTTAAACAGAAAAATAACATTCAAATTTATTATGTTAATCTTTTCTCCAAGAAATAAATAGTAAATAATTTATATTAATAATATAATATAGTAACGGGATGCCTGCTGTGGGGAGAGAATATACTTCTAATACTCTTCATGTAATACCAAAAGACAAAAACCCAAACTCCATTCATCTCCTTCTTTCCTCTGCCCCCGTGATAATAAGTGCAGGATTTTGAGTTTCTTCGCATCATATGATTTCACGGCAGACCAGATGGTTTTGTGGCTGGAAAAACGCATCTAATGTCGTGGTTTACTGTAAAATATCTTCTTTTCTTAATTTTTGGTGAGTATTTTTTTCTCTCTCCTTCTTCATCTTTTCTTTAAGCCTTTTCCTTCGGCTCCCCCGTTCTTTTTTCAGCTTGGATCATTTGAAACGTTTGAACCAGTTCACCGATCACTTTTTCCAGTTTTCCCAATTTGTTGACTGGTTTACTAGTTCTCCACCAGTTCAGTTAACTCATAGTTTTGCAGCATCAACCGGACAGGACCAATAACCAATTCCAATTTTTAAAATAGTGATAAAAGTATCTACACTATAGTGGTAAGATTAATTAAATTCTATAGATCAATTACCTAAATGCCTTTGTTAAAAAAAAAAAACAAGAGCATTTAGGCAATAGACCTCTATAATTTAATTACATTTAAGGGCTTGGGACCCTTCATGTAATTTCAAAATGCATTGGACCTTTCAAGCATGTTATAAATTATCTTCCAAGGGCCCCAATGCAATTCTCCCATAAATTAAGGTATATAACATAATAAAAGCAAAAGTTTTGATTTGGTATTCTCTCTATATCTTGTATAGAAGTATTTGGATATTTTTAAGAAAACCATGATTTTAGTTTTATAATTAATTTTAACATGTAATAAATATGTTTGAACATATTTTTATAAAACCATAATTTTACCTGAATTTTAATGTTGCTTTTCAATTTTGCTTAAAATTAATCTGGTTAATAAAGTTTATAAATTAATTATATCACTTAATTAATTATATTTAAAATAAATCATTTAATTAATTTTTTCTAATGCATATCTAAACGGGCCGTTGTTGGGTCTTTTTTTGGCCGACAAGCTGATCAATGAATTATAGTGGCAGTTGAGTCTTGAATGAGTAAGTTTTCATAGACAAGCAAAAGTATTGGTCAATTTATTACTCCCACCATCTTATTGTAGAAGATTTGTTTTTAAAAAATAAGCATATTAATATAGTTCATTAACTACACATTACGATTTTTTAAAAAACCTAAACATAAATTTATAAAAGTGAAAATATAATCATTGTTATTTATAAGTTTATTGAGAGTTGGTTTCAATCCTTATAGTCCTTATAATTTAACATTGTTGGGGACTTGAGAAAAACATCATTCAATCTTGTTGAAATTATAAGGATTGAAAATGATGAAAAAATTATAGGGATTAAAAGTAATACTTAATGAAACTATAAGAACTAATGATTATATTTTCCCTTTCTAAAAATATTCTTTGTTTAATATGACTTTATTTGTGAAATATTAAATAGAGAGAGAAAAATAATTCCTCCATTAAAAAATATAAATCATTTTTAAGGAGTTGGATATTAAAAAATGTAAAGTATTTTTAGTATTTTAAGGTATAATTATGGCTTCTTCTTTTTTCAAAAATGTCCATATTAAATAAATCACTTTATATTTATTTTAAGATGAAACACCTTATTAAATAGGGGTAAATATGGAAAGGGAGGGTTAGTTTAAAGACAAATAAC